CCTTCTGAATAGACTGAATTAAGAGACTGGAGATCCAAGGTAAGGCTAAGTATCCATGTAGATAATAGAAGTGAATTAGGGATAACAACACAGTACTTGGGAATTGTTGTAGACAACAAACTATGCAACAATGTGCAATGTCAATCAGCAGTGGCTAAGGCCAGTTAGGTATTGTCATGCATGAAAAAGGGCATTCATTCTCGGGATGAGAATATAATTTTACCTCTTTATAAATCACTGGTAAGACCACATATTGAATATGCTGTGCAATTTTGGGCACCTGTTCTAGAAGGATATTATGGCACTAGCAAAAGTGCAGAAGCGGGCTGCAAATTTAATAAATGGAATGGAACATTTTAGCTATGAAGAAAGGTTAAAAAATGTAAACCTCTTTAGTTTAGAAAAACGTTGCCTCAGAGGGAATATGATAACATTATACAAATATATCCAGGGCCAATACAAACCATTGTGTGGAAATCTATTCACAAACAGGACTATAAATATGACACAAGGTCATGCGTTTAAACTGGAAGAAAGAAGATTTAGTTTACAGTTTTTACTGTAAGAACAATAAGGATGTGGAATTCTCTGCCTGAAAAACAGTTTTTATCAGAGTCCGTACAGAGGTTTAAACAGCAACTAGATGCAAACTTGCAAAAAAAGAATATTCAATAATCTTCCAACCATAGGGCAATATCTTTTTGATCCAAGGATAAATCTAACTGCCTTTCTGGGGTCAATAGGGAATTTTTCCTAGTTTGTTGCAAAATTGGAAGTGCGTCAAACTGAGTTTTGTTGCCTTCTTTTGGATCAACAGCAAAAAAACAAATGCGAGGAAGGCTGAATTTGATGGAAACGTGTCTCTTTTCAGCCTATGTAACTATGTAACTCTCATGGGCTGATGGCCTATTCATCATACGTGTAGGGGTCCACAGTCATTCTGTACCCTTTGGATCCCTGAGTGGAGTGGGGAGGGTGCACACTTAGTTTTACAGGGAAATGACAATACCCGAGAGGAATACGCAGCGGACCTTCCAAGCTGAGGCTTAGGTTGGATCTTTTTTACCATGCTGGCATAGCAGCTTGCATTTCCTTGTTGTTGATGCACCTACACTACAGCAGATTATATTTTTTCTTTATAGTTTTGGCCATCGACTTTGAAACAGCCACAGCAGCCAGCCTGCAATTCACAGCAGTCAGCTTGCCAACCTGCCAACCACAGCAGGAAGCCAGCAACAGTAGTTAAGGTGGGCCTACTTGGGCTGGGTTTCAGAGAGCTATGTTATATTACTATAATGTGAATGGAGAGCAGAGTGTTAGAGAGAGACCCCCCTCCAGGGAACGTTAGACTCCATTGTAGTCTCTAATGTTAGAAAGGGTCCCTTCCAGGCCCCATTAGAGACTGGCTAATGGAGCTCCACAAGCAGGTCGTTCTGTGGCGGCGGAATCATCTAAGATAAATTGGCCTAAAAATAAATTAAAAATTACACTCCTATGCATATAGTGCAGTGCGTGTATAATGAATGTAGTGTGTTTGTAGCGAATGCAGTGTGAATAATAATTGTAGTGTATTTGTAGTGAGTGCAGAGTGTGTATAATGAATGCAGTGTGTTTTTAGTGAGTGCAGAGTGTGTATAATAAATGTAGTGTATTTGTAGTGAGTGCAGTGTGTATAATAAGTGTAGTGTATTTGCAGTGAGTGCAGTGTGTATAATAAATGTAGCGTGTTTGTAGTGAGTGTAGTGTGTATAGTGAATGTAGTGTTTTTGTAGTGAGTGCAGAGTGTGTATAATGAATGCAGAGTGTGTATAATGAATTTAGTGTGTTTGTAGTAAGTGCAGAGTGTGTACAATGAATGCAGTGTATGTAGTGTGTTTGTAGTGAATGTAGAGTGTGTATAGTGAATGTAGTGTGTAGTTAGTGCAGAATGTGCATAATGAATGCAGAGTGTGTATAGTGAATGCAAAGGGTGTATAGTGAATGCAAAGGGTGTATAGTGAATGCAGAGGGTGTATAGTGAATGTAGTGTGTTTGTAGTGAGTGAAGAGTGTGTATAATGAATGCAGTGTGTGTGCGCGCTGGATGACGTGTGTGTGCGTGCTGGATGACGTGTGTGTGCGTGCTGGATGATGGGTGTGTGTGTGCGTGCTGGATGATGGGTGTGTGTGTGCGTGCTGGATGATGGGTGTGTGTGTGCGTGCTGGATGATGGGTGTGTGCGTGCTGGATGATGTGGGTGTGTATGCGTGCTGGATGATGGGTGTGTGTGTGCTGGATGATGTGTGTGTGTTGGATGATGGGTGTGTGTGAGTGCTGGATGATGGGTGTGTGTGTGTGCTGGATGATGGGTGTGTGTGTGCGTGTGCTGGATGATGTGTGTGTGCGTGTGCTGGATGATGGGTGTGTGTGCTGGATGATGGGTGTGTGTGTGCTGGATGATGGGTGTCTGAGTGCTGGATGATGGGTGTGTGAGTGCTGGATGATGGGTGTGTGTGTGCTGGATGATGGGTGTGTGTGTGCTGGATGATGGGTGTGTGAGTGCTGGATGATAGGTGTGTGTGTGTGTGTGCTGGATGATAGGTGTGTGTGTGCTGGATGATGTGTGTGTGTGTGTGTGTGTGTGTGCTGGATGATAGGTGTGTGTGTGCTGGATGATGGGTGTGTGTGCTGGATGATGGGTGTGTGAGTGCTGGATGATGGGTGTGTGTGTTGGATGATGTGTGTGTGAGTGCTGGATGATGGGTGTGTGTGTGTGCTGGATGGTGTGTGTGTGCTGGATGATGGGTGTGTGAGTGCTGGATGATGTGTGTGTGAGTGCTGGATGATGTGTGTGTGTGTGAGTGCTGGATGATGGGTGTGTGTGTGCTGGATGATGGGTGTGTGAGTGCTGGATGATGGGTGTGTGTGTGCTGGATGATGGGTGTGTGCTGGATGATGGGTGTGTGAGTGCTGGATGATGTGTGTGTGAGTGCTGGATGATGGGTGTGTGAGTGCTGGATGATGTGTGTGTGAGTGCTGGATGATGTGTGTGTGAGTGTGAGTGCTGGATGATGTGTGTTGGGGAGGGGGGAAGCATTTTTTTCTTACTTTGTGTTCAATATTTATTTTATTCCCCCCTCCCTGCTTCTTACCTTTTCAGGGAGGGGGGAGATCGCCTGGTGGTCCGGTGGAGGGAGCCAGCCGCTGCACAGAGGGGCCAGCACACGCTGTGTTCCCTCTCCAGCTCGAACTCTCGCGAGACTCGCCTGTGCGGAGCGTTGCCATGGTAACAGCCGGGGGTCTCGCGAGAGTTATAGCTGGAGAGGGAATACAGCGTGTGCTGGCACCTCTGTGCAGGTAGCAGGGCCGGTCCTGCAGGACAGGTAACGGGAACGGCGTTCCTGGTTTGGAAAAAGTGCAGGAACGCCGTTCCAATGCGTTCCTGCAGGACTCGAGCCCTGCTAATAAGTCTAATAGAGAAAGTCTCAGTGTACAGGCCCCTATAGAGACTACAATGTAGTCTAATGGGCTCTGGAGGAGGACTCTCTAATAGAGGCCACCTCAGAGTTTAGTATAAAGTCCATTCCAGGCCCCATTAAAGACTACATGGGTTTTGGAGGGGTTTTTTTTCCTAACATGGTGCATTGAATAGTGTAAACATTAAAACAGATTAGAAATTGCAACACTTAAGTCAGATAATGGTAACTTGATACTTATATTAAGCTCTTGTATCAGGTTTCTCTTCATGACATAAAATAGGCAGAACATAAATGTCATTAAAATTATACCCCCCCTTTTGGCAAATTAAAGTTTGAGACAGTGGCGTCACTAAAGTTGGTGACAACTGGTACAGTAACTCATGGTGTCACCTCAACCCCCTTAGTAATGTTTTTTATGTGCAGTGATGTGCAGAGTTCATGTACGTATTAATGGCCTCCTCTGTATTTTGAGTGTGATATTATGACATGTATGTGTTTGACTTTAGGGTTGATAAGTGTGATGTGCGTGGGGTGTATGCATGGTTGGCTGTGTGGTTGACTGAGTGTGATTGTGTGTGTAGGTTGTGTGTTTGTAATAAAAAAAATGTTAAGTGAGTAATAAGGTTTTCTTATCTGTTGCTTCTTTTGCATGCTAATTATATTTTTATTAATATATGCCATTTTCAGGAGCAACACAGATTTTAATTTTCAGTACAATTAATATCAAAGAGTCATACAAACACATATACACACATTTGCGCACTCACATACATAGAAATAAAGACACATACACAGTAATGCAAAAACACACACACACATAATCTTAGATGCATATACACATACAGACAGACTTATACACACTCATGCAGACACACACAATCATACAGACACATGCACACACTTATACAGAGACACCGTCTTATAAACATACATACAAGTTATGGCAGGTCCCAGAGGAAAGTACAGTACAAGAAAAAGTATGTGAACCCTTTGGAATGATATGGATTTCTGCACAAATTGGTCATAAAATGTGATCTGATCATCATCTAAATCACAACAATAGACAATCACAGCCTGCTTAAACTAATAACACACAAAGAATGAAATGTAGCCATGTTTTTATTGAACACACCATTCATAGTGCATGTGGAAAAAGTATGTGAACCCCTAGACTAATGACATCTCCAAGAGCTAATTGGAGTGAGATGTCAGCCAACTGGAGTCCAATCAATGAGATGAGATTGGAGGTGTTGGTTACAGCTGCCCTGCCCTATAAAAAACACACACCAGTTCTGGGTTTGCTTTTCACAAGAAGCATTGCCTGATGTGAATGATGCCTCGCACAAAAGAGCTCTCAGAAGACCTACGATTAAGAATTGTTGACTTGGGGGCGTGGTCTGACTGCTGACCGTGATGGCCGCATAGTTTGAGAGCTCCGCACCCAATGCCCAGTAACAAGCACTGTAATCACCGACAGCCCGACTGGAACTAAAGGATTAGCGTTCCAACACAGCCTACAACCGACAAAGGAGCCGGGGTACGGATGTCCAACCGCCGACCCTCCAAAAAGCATCTGAAAGAAGCGCCGTCGGTGGCGGACATGCTCACCTCGCAGAGGCCTACACCACGTGGCGTCCCGGCGGCCACCAGCCCCACAGGCCCGGAACAGCCTAACCCCCCCAAATCAAAGGATCCCCCCATGGAGGCATCCTCAACTGCCATTCTGCACTCCCTGGCAGAAGTGAAGGGTTACCTTGCGGGGGAAATCAAACGCACAGCGGCGGAAGTTAAGGCCGAAATCGCGGCCAGAGGGGCCAGAACCGCCATTATAGAGCAACGCATGGAGACTGTGGTCACAGCTCACAACTCTGCCTCAGCCCTCACCAACACTCTGCTCCACAAAATCACTGACCTAGAGCTGGAGCTAGAGGATGTCTCGAATCGATCGAGACGCAATAACATGCGAATAAGAGGCCTACCGGAATCCGTGGAAGAAGCAGATCTGGGGGAGACTATAGCAACATACTTCAAACAACAGCTCCCTGACATCCCTGAACATCTCTCGCTGATTGATAAGGCGCACAGAGCCCTTTGAGCGCGACGCCCTAAACATAGTCCCCCAAGAGACGTAATTATGAAATGGCACTATTATAAAACTAAAGAGGCCATCCTACGACTCGGCAGAACAACAACGTTTGAAATTGCTGGCTCGGCTATACAGCTATATCAGGACATTGCTCCAGCCACGCTCCTACGGAGAAGAGAGTGGAAGCCGGTAACTGACCTGCTGCACGCGAGATTTGCTTGGGGATACCCATTCAAAATCCTTGTCTTTAACGGCCCTAAACCAGCAATACTCCAACCGTCCTCAGATATTGTGGCATTCCTTAAAGGCTTGGACATTGATGTGCCAGAAGATTTCCCACTCCCAGCCACTGCTCCGGCGTCACTACCCATGATCCCCGCCGACAGCAACGCCATGTAAACCAGAGCGAGAGAACCAGATGTCCCTGAGCACAGAATGCCACGGGAGCCTAAACCCAGGCCACACGCAAGATACGAAGAGACTTGGTTCTGTACCTCGATACAGCTTACGCTATCACTTGATTATGAATACGAGACTGTTACAGGTTTTTTTTACTATATAATTGTAGTGGTGCTTGTGGGAAGGTCTAGCCTGTATGGGGCCTACACGGGGAGAATTCTTGGCGGGGACTGGGGTAACTGCTTTCCCTCCCCCTCCGCCCGGTAATGAAGCCCGCGCCCAGGATTCCCAGTTCCTCACAGCTGGGACTGGGGTAAGACCACCCTTAACAGTAGCAATCTATCAGCATACCAACGGGGCCGGAACGGAGCGGCAGAGTGGGGGGGGGGAGAAGGGGGGGAGAGGGGTGGGGAAAAAGAAGAAAAAAACACAATCATATTAAACGAAATTAAGTAAACAATTAGAATACACTGTAATCACGGGCTACGGAGAATCAAGGCCCGGAAGCCAACTGCTTCAGGGGGGTGGGTGATGGGGGGACGGTGGGGCAGAGGACCTTGCCGAACTCCAGAGGGGGACGACCTCCAGGAGCAGGATTTAATGAAATAACTACTAGCCTGTAGAGCAAAGATGACTGGCCATTTAACGCTCTCCGCCCCTGGCGCGGGAAAGGGAGATTTGATACGACCTACACTCCCGCCTGAGTTGTTGCACCCAGGTCCCGGGGGAGCCACAAGGGGCTCTCCCCAAAATGAGCACAGTGGGTACTCCTCTCCCCAACAGCTCCACACAGGGCCATATACACTCCCTCTTGCCCTGAGCGGGCCGGCTCCACTTAATGACCGCCGTCACCACTAGGGCTGTCTCACTACACTATTTGGGCATTGCCAGGGTGCTACTAGGCTGAACCTCCCCCCCATTTAAGGCGATTCCCTTGACGTGGTGGACGCCTACCCCCATAGCTCCTGGCAAATAGTAAGACCCGGAAAATCAGTAGCAATACTGACTGTTGTATTACTGTATCGCAGTCTTGTGCAATCAGTTTCTAGATTGTTTTGTATATAGTTTATAGTTGATTATTTTAAACAGATTCCACAAATTGACTCAGCATTGACTCCGCTTCACCCTATACTGAAAAGTGTTTGTACATTTACTATCCCACCTCATCTCTTAATCTTCACACACCCGACCTTATCTCTTTCTTCTCCCCTCTAGAGCCGCAGCTGGGGGTGGGGACATCTACTGCAACGCAGAACTCCAGCGGTCCTCGGTGTGCTCCAGGGATATCAGGTAACCCCCTAGACACATAACTCCACCTTACGACATGGACCTCAAACTTACCTCACTTAATGTGAACGGACTCAATGTCCCTAATAAACGTAGACTCCTACTAAGGGAGCTTAGGCGACAAAAGGCAGATATTGCGTACATCCAAGAAACGCATATACCCCGCATTGCCAAAGTGCACCTTACAAACCACATCTACACTAAGGCCCATGAATCGCGCGCTCTCTGCAAGCGGAATGGGGTGGGAATACTCATACATAAAAGATGCCCCCTGCAAATTACCAATGTACAGACAGACACAGAAGTACGATACGTGATCCTGACAGGCGTTCTACATGCCCACACATACCACCTAATAAATGTCTACGCCCCAAATACCCCCTCCCGACAATTCTGGTCAGACCTTGAGCAAATCATAACAGCCCTACCGAGGGGTATACTGATCCTGGGGGGGGACTTAAATGCAGCGCCGTGTCCGGCAGTGGACAGAGGAGGCGGGAACTGCCTTCCTCGGTCGCAGAACAGAGGAGGTCAAGATAAACTGCTCAATGACTTCATCCAACGCACGGGACTACTTGACCCATGGAGGATCCAACATCCGAGCCTGAGGGACTATTCCTTCTACTCGGCAGTACACGCGACTTACTCACGTATTGACCTCTTCCTGGTAAACCAGGTGGCCATGCATTGGACCAAGACGTCTGAGATAAATCTCATCTCGTGGTCCGATCATGCGGACATAGCACTAACCCTACGACACCCTGGCCCAAATGCCCCATGGAAATGGAGACTCAATGCCTCCATCCTCAGGGATCCCCACATACAAGCCATAATAAAGCAGGAAGTGACACAATACTTTCAGGACAACGACTCCCCGGATATTTCCCCAACTACGCTGTGGGCTGCCCACAAGCCAGTCATACGTGGGGTTCTAATCAAACTAGCGACCCAACGGAAAAGGAAAAAATATGAAAAGTTGCAGGACCTGCAAAAACAACTACGTAAACTTGAAATGCAGAATAAACAGGCAGTAGTTCCGAACAAGACCTGGGCGCTACAAGAGACTAGACGACAGTTAAGAGAACTTATGCTAGAGGACGTAAGCCAGGACTTGATACGCTCGAAATGACTATATTACGAAAAGTCCAATAAAATGGACACGTTACTAGCCAGGGCCTTGCGACCCAAACGCAATACCACCTCCATCACTGCTATTAAGGACCCCCAGGGCAGAATTCTCACCAACCCCAACAACATTAACAGGGAGTTTACGAAATTTTTTGAAAGGGTTTACAACCACTCCCCGACACTGACCGGGGACAACGACGGATATGCCAACAGTGTAGCTGCCTTTCTAGCCACCGCCCAAACCCCAAGACTCCCAGAGGCACAAACTGCGTTCCTAGGGGAACCCATAGCTCTAGACGAAATTGATAGAGCCATTGCTGTAATGAAGGGGGGGAGGGCCCCAGGACCAGACGGGTTTGATGGGGCGTACTATAAACTCCTACGGGAGGAATTGCTGCCCCATCTAGTTAAAATGTACAATACTTGGACTAGTGAGGACAGCCCCAACCCTGACCTCTCGACGGCGGACTTAACCCTCATACCCAAACCGGACAAAGACTGCACGAATGTGACGAACTACCGCCCCATATCCCTCATTAATTTTGACATGAAACTCTACGCAAAAATACTAGCCACCCGACTGAACCTTATCCTCCCCAAGCTCATCCATCCGGACCAGGTGGGCTTCGTCCCGACCAGACAATTATATGAAAACACCACACGAGCAACTGACCTGATGTGGTGGGCAGGAAGGACGGAAATGCCTTCTCTGGTCCTATCCCTGAACGCGGAGAAGGCGTTTGACAGAATCCAGTGGAACTATATGTTTGAGCTCCTCAAGGTGATGCATTTCCCAGCTACCTTTGTTAGAGCAATCCGAGCCCTATACACATGCCCCAGAGTACAAACGCTGGTACCGGGAGCATCACCACTCCCTTTTGTACAGCAGAACGGCACCAAACAAGGCTGCCCGCTATCCCCGCTGCTGTTCATATTGGCGCTTGAACCACTATTACACTTGATAAGACACAACCCAAGAGTGAAAGGGATGGCAGTGGCATCGGAGAGCTTTAAGGTCTCTGCGTATGCAGATGACATCCTGCTCACCCTCACGGAGCCGCTGGATTCGGTTCCCCCCCTCCTTGATCTGCTAGACACTTACCAACTAGTTTCGGGATATAAAATAAACCTGGATAAATCGGTAGGAATGCCTCTGAACATGACAGAAGCGGACGTGCAAACACTACACCAACCCATTAAATACTTAGGTGTCAGACTCACGACGCAATATACAGACTTGTACGCAGAGAATCACCATCGTCTGCTTCAGACCCTGCTCCGAGACTTAGACAGATGGCACGAGAAACCAATCTCGTGGATAGGGAGACTGCATGCAGTCAAAATGAACTTGCTCCCAAGCCTTCTGTTCCTCTTTCAGGCACTCCCAGTGAGAGTCTCTAAAAATGACCTGAAACCATTGCAGACAGCTATTGATAACTTCATCTGGGCCAGGAAGAGACACAGAATAGCTAGACATACGCTATATACGCCAAAAAGCAGGGGAGGGTTGGGTCTCCCACACCTCTACCTATACTACCTAGCCGCCCAATTAGCGCAAATAGTGGAATGGCACTTGCCCCCGGACTCCCACAGATGGGTGGATCTGGAAACACTTATCATGCGCACAGACCTCCCACAGTACTGGATTTGGGTCCCCAAGGCAGATAGACCTGACCTCACCACGACATGCCCCACCATCCTGAATTCCATACGAATATGGGACACCACAGCGCGCACATATGATCTAACACACCGGCCCTACAAAAAACAAAGCCTTCACACGGGTATGAGCCCTAGAGATTTTAGGGGTCTGGAAGACACAGGGATTCAACGTTACGGTCACATATATCACACGGGCACCTTCCGAACCTATGATGACCTTAGGACGTTAGCTACACTCACCACAAGGGACCACTTCAGGTACCTCCAGCTTAGAGATTTCGCCAAGAGCACTGTTGTCCGAGCGGCAGCGGGGGCTAGACCCACCTTCTTTGAGACACTATGCATATCTGAGGGACCACGTACTGGCCTCATTACCCTCCTTTACACGCAACTGAGTGCCCCGACGGGGGACGCTCAAATTCCCACATATGTCACACAATGGGAGAAGGAACTTAATCAAACCCTAGAAAGTGGGGAATGGCAGGACATATGGGAGGCAGCGACAAAAGCTTCCATATGTGTCCTGCATCAGGAACAGTGCTATAAGACGCTTATGCGTTGGTACACTACCCCAGTCAAACTATGTAGAATGGGGAAGACGCCCTCTGACACATGTTGGCGAGGCTGCGGAGAAAAAGGCACATATCTACATATGTGGTGGACATGCCCTAAGGTAGTAAAATATTGGGACAGTGTAGCTGCCCTACTGACAGAGGTAATGGGGAAACCGATCACTCCTAACTCCTGGACGTTTCTCATAGCGAAACCTCTTGACAACCTAACCCATAGAGAACAAAAATTGGTAAATAAAATTAATTTAGCGGCCAGGAGGGCGCTCGCGCATACCTGGCTCCAGATTGACATGCCACACATGGACAGAGTGATACACTACATTAAGGAGGCGTGCCTCATGGACAAACTGA